TTTTTTTCCTCTCCTTCCCCCCTTTTCCCTCGGCTGGGCTGACAGATCAGAGTGAGAGGCGCTGGCACTGGACTAGGAAGCTCGCCTGCCGCTGCTACTGCTCCCCCTCGGGCTTCGGCGAGAGCCTTTGCTTGTCAAGCAAGAGGGGTGAGGATCATATTTTTTTTATTTTGGAAAGTAAAAAGTGCTCCCAGGGTCGGTGATTATTAAGGGGAAATCCCTGAATGTACTCTCCAGCCAAGGCAGGGCTGCCGGGCTGCACAAGAAGAAGCAGCAGCCTCCTACAGCACCACTACAGGCACTGCGAGGACATAACACCAGAGAGCGGCTCCTCTGCCCTCCGAAACGACAACTTTCCTACCATCTTGGAGCAGCAGAGGGGGGCCAGGGGCAAAAGTGCACTCGCTCCCGAGAAAGTACAAATTTCTCCTCTCCGGAAAAAAGTCCGCACGGCCGTCTACACCAGCGCCTGGGGGACCAGCGGGAGAGAATCTGGGGGTGCCTGAGCCGCGTTTTCACTTGCTCCAGGGGGAGAAATGTTTCTGCGTCTTCTACTGGGAAGAAATCTTTGCAGGACACAGGTTTTCCGGTGATTATTATTTTCTATTTTAATTTTTTCCTTGTTAGTGACCGTGGTGTTTTAATTTTTTTTTTTTTTTTTTTTCAGGCTAATCATGACTTTTCTGCATGCCAGCTCTAAGTTCTGGGTCTGGTTGGTCAGTTTGTAAATTTGTATTTCAAGAGACTTCACAGTCACTTTGTCTGTTTACCTACATAATTGTGTATGGGTATTTATTTTCATATATTAGGTATAAAAATCCGTGTTACATATGGTCCTCCAAATCGAGACTGCTGCAAGACAATTATAAAGAGGTGTCTTTTGTCTCCATCTCTCCAAGGAATGTAAATAAGTCCTATTTACTGTCCAGAAAAGGCATAATACAGCTGTTTATTTTCCACAGTGCAAATAAAAGCAGAGATCAACCCCCAGTGTATAAATGACCAATTAGCTGAAAATAATCCTAATTCAGTTATGTACTGCCCCTGAAGGAAGGTTACTGTGAACCTGGAAATACATTTAAAGACTGCCTTAGGTTTTTTTTTTTTAAGTAAAATTGTTTTTAAAAATTATATCTAGACATTTCAGTGTTTTTTTATCTAGGTTCTTTTAAAGTTTAGGTATTTGGTGCTTACACGTGTTGCTGCCTGCGTCCAGGGTCACCGAATTGAGAAATGTGTTTATTTTTGTTAGAGTGGAAATCCTGGTTCACAACTCGAGCTGTGCTGCCAGCCTGTAGTGATTCTCATATGGCAGTGGATGTCATGAATTTACTTTTTTTAAATGAGCAAAGCTCGATAGATAAATGTCATCAAAGTTAACACTGCCCCCTTGCATCAGTTATTTTTCTGACACAGGATGGCTCACCTAGTGGGAATGAATTTGTAATATTAGTGCCTTGTATCCATAGACCATTTCTTTCATTTGAAATCCGTTACAAGACATTTGGAAACCGCTAGTGGCTCCACTTAATAAGGTTTGTTTTTCGAGCTTTGCCATAACTCTCAGGTGAGTTCAGGTAATGCACACATCAAATATTTACTTCTTTTCTACTTTCTTTATCTAAAATTGGATACTGGAATATTCTGAATTTTTGTGGGTTTTGCCTCCCTTTTTAATGGAAAAAACTACCATAATTAAAGTAAAATTGCCTTATTGCTATCATCTTGGGAACCTCTTAGCAAGATGTCATATGTTTACAATTTTTTTAAACATCACAAATTAAACAAATTGGTCATAACCAGGTCATTACTTCCTTAGACTTCTAGTGGACTTGAAAAGCATGTTTGCTGCCAACTTGTTTTGCCTTATGTGACATAACTTTATACACATGCTTTCAGTGTTTCAGGAAATGAAGATGTGTTTGTTTGCCGTAAGCTGTTTATTACACCCTTGTATGCAGTCCCTCGTCACCACAGAAGCATGCTTGTATGGGATCTATCCAGGTGAGGCTGTTCTGTGCAGTCATAGGATTTCAGTGCTTTTCTCTTTGTAAGTCCTCACTTGTACATGACCATAATCCATGGTAATCCATCATCCTAGCTAACAACCCAAAATTTGCAGGGATTACAAGTCAACTGAAAAGAAACACCACTAAATTTGCAATGTTGTTGACTTGGATTAGTCCGGGTTTGTTTCAGCTGATAGCTGAACTAAGTTCAGGTGTTATGTCTGAATCCTAGCCACCGCAAATGCTAGCAAAACTGCTAACATGATTTCAAGAACACAGCCCCTGCCCCATGGTTTCTGCTACTCAAAATTTGGCTGAAGTTCTTGAATACCTAATGTATCCTGGTAATGTTCTTAGACACTATTATTTATGTGTCCTCATTTAATTTTACCCAGAACTATAAAAACTGTGTACTGTTTTTCTTTTCTTCCTTTTTTTTTGGATATAGCTAGGAAGGTTATCTTTCCTGTGAGAGAGAATGAGCCTTCTCAGCCCTAAAGCTTTCCACTACGATTCTAAATTCTCCTGCTTGGAAGTTTCCAAGATAAGCAAAGTGTCACCCACAACACTGACTTCCGTGCCTGGAAGTGCTGGGTTCCTGCCAGGTGCCTTTTGCCAAAACAAATTTTAGTACCCAGCTGTGGGAGCCCTCATCATTCACGGTGACGACTGGTGGTATAGTCCACTTCCATGAAGGCCAGAAGTAGCTGATGGGGAGGGGATATCTCTCTCTTTTTTTTTTTTTTTTTTTTTTTTTTTTTTGAGACAGGGTTTCAACTATGCAGTGTAGGCTGACCTTCAACTCACTTTTAGCCCAGGCTGGCCTTGAACTCACAGTGATCTCAGTCCTCCTGCCTCAGCCCAAGTGCTGGGATTATAGGCGTGTGCCACCACACCCAGCAGAAGTAGTTGATTTTAATACTGCAAAAATGTTTCCAATCCAGAAAAGATAAACAGTCATGCTTATCATTTGAGATATAATGTGATTAAGAGGTACTTGGTTCCTGATCCTGAAAATAAGCAGTAGGTAGTATAAAGCAGGAGCTTATTTATACTATTGGAACCTTCATTACGAAAGTGGCTCTTTGGTCCTTCATTGAACTAGGAAACTCTTGCCTTCATAGTTTTACTCTAGAATCTTCAATCAAATCTCCCTGTTGGTGTTGATGGTTTTTAGTAGTGTAAAAAATAACCACCTGTGCTTAGGATGTAGCTCAGTGGTGGAATGATTGCCTAGTCCAAGTTCATTCCTATCCTTTAAAGGTTTTGTTTGCACATGAAAGACATGTGAGCCAGGCCTGGTGGCTCATGCCTGTAATCCCAGCACTTGGGAGGCTGAGGCAGGAGGATCACTGAGTTTTTGATGCCAGCCTGTGCTACATAGTAAGACCCTTTCTCAAAAAACAATAAATAAATAAAAATAGGAAAATTACACATGTAGAATAGAATTTGATCAGGCGTCCTGGCACAGGCCTACAATCCCAGCACATTAGGAGACCAAGGCAGCAGGACCGTAAGTTCGAGCCCACTGAGGACAACCTAGTGACTAAGTGAGATTCTACCTCAAGATAAAAAAATAAAAGGATGGCCGGGACAGTGTGAAGGTTTTGGGCTCAATCCCCAGTAGCATAAAGGAAAGAAGAGTCTTCAAGCAGTAAAGCTGTGCACATGGGAGGCTGAGGCAGGAGGATCATTGTGAGTTCAAGACTAGCCTGGGCTACAAAGTGAGCTCAAGGCCAGCCTGAACTGCGTAGGGAGACCCTTTCTCAAAAAAAAAAAAAAAAGCAATAAAGCTGTGCCTTGGCATATGTTTGCTGACAGAATCGCCAAGTATTAAAAAAAATATAAAGTTGGGCACCTCTGTAACCCTAGCACACAGGAGGCTGAGGCAGGAGGATCACTGTGAGTTCAAGGCTAGCCTGAACTATATAGCAAAACCCTGTCTCAAAAAGACAAAAAATAAATTAATAAAACCACTAGCAGAAGATGTGGTTGTACAGACTGAGTGGTTTTTCTGGAGAATGGGTAGGGATTTGAACCTTCCCTAAGTACGCTGGGGTGTGGCAGCTACTAGGGAAGCTGAGGGAGGAAGATCACGTGAGCTCAGGGAGTCTGAGGCTTTCAGAACCACTTTGGTGGGCATGGTGGTGCACACTTGGAATCCCAACACTCAGGAGGCTGAGGCAGGAGGATCCTCTCAAGTTTGAGACCAACCTGGGCTACATAGCAAAACCCTGTCTCAAGAAAAATCAACCCACTCTGTTACCATGGCCAGAAATATTTCTTTTGACCCCATTAAGCATTTCTGTTTTGGAAACATTTGTTGGCAATGTTTCTACCTAAAACAAAGATTGTTTGTGTTTTTTTTTTTGAGGCAGGGCCTCACTATCTAGTGCAGGCTGGCCCTGAACTCACTGTAGCCCCGGGTGGCCTCAAATTCAGTGATCTTCCTGCCTCAGCCTCCTGAGTGCTGGGATTCCAGGCATGTGCTACCACGCCCGGCAGATTTTGCTTTTATTGTGGTTACTGTGCCCTGCAAGAAAGTGTTCTGAGATAAGCATTGTGGACCTTTACATCATAACTTTAGTATGAGATTTCTGTAAGAGATTTGCCTGTAGGCCTCGTGCATGTGAGCCTTGAGCAGGTGCCCTCCTGAGTCCTGACCCCTCTCCCAGAACATGTGGACCTGGGCACTGTCATGTGGTTACTAGAGGTTGGAGTGTGCCTGTGTGTGTCAGGAACAAATCCTGTCCATTGTGCTGTTCTTCATGACATTGTAGCAGGCTGTCCTTATCTGGAGCCATTCTGTTGACTCCTGATAGAAAAAGCGAAATAATTCTCTAACAGAAGTCAGATTTTAAGTCATGGCTTGTAAACAAAACAAAACAAAACAAAAAACCCTGGAATGTTGCCAGGCATGGTGGTGCATGCCTATAATCCCAGCACTCAGGAGGCTGAGGCAGGAAGATCATTGCAAGTTCAAGACCAGCCTGGGCTACAAAGTAAGCTCAAGGCCAGCCTGAACTGCACTGAGAGACCCTGCCTCAAAAAGACCAAAAGAAAAAGAAAAAAAGAAAAAGAAATTGGGTAGAAGTACACATCCTAATCAACCTTTTCTGTAATTAATAATGAAAAAAACCAAAACTATCCCTAAAGCTGAGTTGGCTAAAGCACTGAAGTAAGGTGAGAAATCCAGAGAGACCTCAGGATAATACCCAGAGGTTAGCACGAAGGTGACGGTGTTCATTTCTGCTGCATTCCTGCTTGCGCGAGCTTCTGTAGACTGGCTGGGGACATAACCACTATTTCCCTGGGAAAATGAGTTCCAGGTCCCAGACAACTAATTGACGCTAGTGTTCTGGAGCGCAGCCCTCTAATACGTCTGCACTTCTGTGCCATAACACCTTTGCTGTACGGTGTTGATACTGTAGACAGCCACAGTTTAGGAGCAAGAGGAAAATGGGCGAATCCTCTCCATATAAAAGAAAGAGTAACTATTAACATCTCCCAGCAGCATTCTCTAAATTCAGGTAGGAAAGTTTATCAAAGATGGAAAGTGATTAAGCTTGTTTGTAGTACAGAGAAGACTTCAATCAGGAAATGAAGATTGTACTATTAACCTTTACTCTGTATAGTTGAGTTTGTGGAGTTGCTTTGTTTCGTAGTACTGGGGCTTAAACACAGGGCTGTCACACTAAGCTACGTCCCCAGGCGCTGTTACTGTTTAATTGTGAGAAAGGCTGTCTCTAAATGCCCATGTTGGGATCACACTCTCCTGCCCCAGCCTCTGGAATGCTGGGACTATCGGCATATGCCACCACACCCAGCTTTGGCCTTTTTTTTTTTTCTTTGTGGTTTTGAGACAGAGTCCCGCTCTGCAGTTCAGGCCGGCCTTGAGCTCATTTTGTAGCCCAGGCTAGTCTTGAACTCACAACAATCCTCCCGCCTCAACCCCCTGAGTGCTGGATTACAGGCATGTGCCGCCACGCTCAGCATGGCCTGTTTTAAATGCACAGTGTTAGGCAATAAAGCGTGGGTTTCAGGTCAGACAGCCAGGTGTGCCTCCCAGAGCTCACCTTTACTCACTGCAGTGCAAAGCGGGCCAGGTCCACAGCCTTCAAGCCTCAGTGCCAGTTCTTCACACAGCTGCCACAAGGGCAACCGTAGGGCCAGCCGTCGTGGTGGCTGCGACCCGTCAGCGGCCACCCTGCTGTTTTCTCTTGGCTGCATTCATGCCAGGTGAAGTCAAGGTAGAATTTTAATCTGAAAACTGAGAAAAATGTGGAGCCTTATTCTACAATCATTTTCTGAAGTGTTAAAGAATACTGTAATTACCAAATTAATTAGAATCCTATTCGCATATTTACTGTTTATGTAATTTCTGTGAGCTCTCTCCTTTTGATTAAAGTTCCTAGTGCTCTTGAGTAAATGAAGGCCTAGTTTTTAAAAACCTGATTGAAGCCGGGCGTGGTGGCACACGCCTGTAATCCCAGCACTTGGGAGGCTGAGACAGGAGGATCGTTGGGAGTTCGAGACCAGCTTGGGCTACAAAGTGAGCTCAAGGCCAGCCTGAACTCATAGTGAGACCCTGTCTCAGAAAGATAAAAAATTAAAAAATTTTTTAAAAAACAAACATGACTGAAGTTTATATATTTTTCATAGTAAGAACAGAGTCTAGGGAGTGGGCCTGGTTTATATCTATGAGGACTTGATACCACTGGTCTTTTAAGATACTGTTGCTTAATTGGGTTTCTTTTTTTTTTTTTTTTTTTTTTTTTTTTTTTTTTAGACAAGAGTCTCACTATGCAGTTCAGGCTGGCCTTAAACTCACTTATGTACCCCAGGCTGGCCTCAAACTGACAGTGATCCTCCCCCCTCAGCCTCCCAAGTGCTGCAATTACAGACATGTGCCACCACACTTGGCTTAGCTCTTTTTTAATTTTTTGAGATAGGGTCTCCCTAAATTCCCTAGGCTGGGCTTGAATTGAGAATCCT